ATCGGTTTTATGAATAATCCTTCAATTAAGATACTCTAATGACTAGCAAAACGCTGTTCTAAACTTAGACAAAAATATTAAGTAACAGCTTTCTTATATATACTTTTGATTTAATCAATAGAAAATGAACCCAAAGAGGAAGTGATTAGAAAAAGAAAAACTTCTTGGCCAGCAGAGGGACGTCTGTTTGTTTGTTAAAAGAAGAAAACACGTCTTTTGATTTACCCTTCGCTCAGAATTTTCAATCTTCGTTTATTTTTCCTAAAACAATGATCGATTTCTGTCACAATATTGGAAGTCCCAGGAGGGAGTAAAATTAAGCCTTTCGTAACCTATTTTTTTTGTAGTTCCTGCAGTTTAACTCTACGGCTGCAAGATTGAAAACTGATCTTGAATGTCTTTGCTTAAGGAAAGTCTAAATAGTTGCACTGGTCGACAGAGAATAAGAGAGCGACATGTCATCATCGACAAACTCAAGATCTGTGTCAAGAGGACGAGCGCGCGAAGACATGTGACCAGTGGTACAAGCAGGATAATTGCCCTGACCAGGTAGTTTCTGAATTTTGACTGAATGGCCAAAAAAAACAAATTTTCCGCTCTTTATTAAACTAGTGCGCGTTTCAGTCATGGCGTTAAAATCTTCAAGCGTCGATGTTCAAGCGTATGAAGATTGAGATGACGAATTCTTCATCTCTGTTGTTGCCTTGCATTTGTTTAGTTTGCTTTTTGTGCAATTTCGAATCTTTTCTGTGTTTGTTTTCTTCATTCAGCACAGAGGTTTAATAAATCACACTTTTGCTGATTTCAAATCGCCGAAGGTTGTCAGGGAAGTAAAAATTTTATTCCTTTTTTTTTTTAAAAATCGGTTATTCACATCGGTTCGAATGCTTTCGTCTGTTAACTGGTGGTTTGCTCCACCTTGTCAAGTGACGAGATTGTAACCTGTTGGTGATTCCGTAGGTAGTCTCATTCATTTGATTATTCGCTTAATTCCTCAAAAATAAAATTAACATCGTTCTCTTAAGACTATTGATTCTTTTCAATCAATAAGTTCAAATGTTTATAACCAAGCCAACAAGCTTTTAAGAAAAGGCGTTTATCAGTTTTCGAATTTGCCTTCCTGTGTTATGACCTATTGGCATTGTGTTATTTGTTTGCATTCAAACGCACATATTTTGATACAAATGTTTTTTTCGCTTTGAGTTTAAAAATGGTCCGTCTTTCCTTATTAAAAACTGTAAAAACAGCTAATCAAAATCACAGTTAGTCAAAAGCACTCTCCCCACTAAGTTCAGTAAAATGGTTTTTTGCGAACAATTGTGGCTAAAACGCTCAATAACAACTCTTTCGTCTCAGTTATTTCAGTTAATAAATATCAGACACGATGAACTTTGAATAGCTAAATTCTTACCTTTAAGCTGATTTAGCTTCTTTTTGAGGATTTTCTTTTTTGCTTCAACAGAGAAGGCGACCAGCACAATAAGCAAAAGAAAGATTCGCTTGTCCATGTTGCCTGATAAAAAGAAGAAACAAATTATAGCAAGTTCATTCAAAGCTTTGCTAAGGTTCTTTCCCTACTTTCCAAGTAGATTAAATTATTTTCTCCTCGTTATGGTTTCTCGTTAAGAGATCTTTCCAAATCGCCGTTATCGCCGTAACGATTGTCAAATATTCGACGAAACTACACCAACACAGATGTACAATTATTCTTAAAACATTGCTGAACTTTCTTAATAAATACATTCTCTTAACTATTCTGCCAAACAGGGAGGTTAAAATATTTACCCTCGGACATTCAGCTACAAATAAAGTAGTAATTAGGTTTAGATTTCCATTTCAGATTATTATAATCGATAACATTTAAGACACACAGTGACGGGGCCTCAAGTTGATAAAATAAACACAACTTACGAGATAATGCAATTCGTACAATTCGAGTGGTTGAGTAACAGAAACAGAAAAAAACTGTAGTTATATTGCTATATTATAATGTTAAATGAGAAACAAGTTTTGAGTTAAATGTCTTTTTTGATTATCACTATGGCAATTATGTAAAATCTGAGACAAAGACGCCTACCTTTTTCTCAGGAAAACCTAAAATCCCTGATTCCTCGGGCAACACAATCAAGAAATTGCTTCTTTGCTTTAAATGGGAGACGTTAGGATGCGCTAATCGTTTGCACTACCCGTTCGGGGTTAAAGCTTTTGATTGGCTTGTGAATGGTTATTCATGCATGACCAAACGATCCAATCTAACGACGTAATCGAAAAGCAATGGTCTATGACACGAGGCGCCCGTTTACACCGCTGGCCATTAATCATTCACGACTTACCGGTGGTCTGTCTCTAAGAGGCTGGTTCTATGCAAACAATCCTATATCCAAGTCTTTCATAACAGTTTTTCAACACTTTCATGGTGTTTTCATTGAGACGATGAAAACAACCTGTAAGCTATGAATCCATATGTATACCAAGATTTATGGACCATGAAGGAATATAAAAACCTTTGCTTAGGGGAGTCACCGTTGAAAAATTGTTTGGTGCAATAGTCCGTAAAGGTCGTTCCATGCAATTTCCAAACCATAGCTTTAACCGTTTTATGTTACTGTCACAGACAATTGTTTTTTTAATTGACCGCTTGTTTTTTATCATTTGACTTCTTGACCTGTTATAGACTGATCATGAAATATCTGCTATTCAATTGCAGAAGATTCAAACTCACTTATCAAATAAAATCAACATTAAGGGTACTGATGCATCTAAAGCAACTTAAAGGCGAGGAAAACTTTTTATGATTGCCAGCAAAGCAAAAATATGAAAGATGTGTCCGACAATACAAGAAGACAAATGTCCTCTTTCGAGTCATTTTCCAGGAATAGGCTGCAAGGAAATTTGGCGTTTCTGCACTGTCCTTTTCTTCCTTAAAATGAAGTGCCTAAGGAATGTTTAAAAACGTAATTCATAAAATAATAGCGTTTCTAAACCCACTCATGTCTAAATGGCTCCTGTATACACCATTTTCTTTGAGTAGCTATGCGGTTATCTACGTTTTTCTACGAGTTCATCTTGACATTCGTTTATGGTAAATTACCAACATTTTCTCCACTTTTATGAAAGCTACTAAAACAAACAGAAAGCAAAGAAACAAATTGAAGTTGAGAGTGAGGAGCGTTCAACGCGTCTTTTAATTTAGAACATTTATCGGTCTAAAAGAGTTTTGTTTTTTCATTCTTTTCTAGGAATTACTGGAAAAACTTTGTTCATCTTCTCGAGATTTCGCGTGGCGCAATATTTTCACTTTCAATCCGGTCATTCCATTTTAGTTTAGTGATTTTTGTTGTTGTATTTTTTGTTTGTTTGTTTGTTTGTCGTGATTGTTTTGTCTTTTTTCTGCTTTGTTTATTTATTCGGTCCTGCAGCAGGTATGTTGACTTACCTATTTACTTGGCAGAAACCTACCAAGTAAAGTGAATAACATAGGAAGCGTTTCATGAGCGCAGGAAGTGCAACTGAGCGGAAAATTCTTAACTGTATTGTAGAAAAGTACAATAAACCACTCAATATGTTTCTCATTAACAACATTTTATTAAGTTATTTGAATTCTGACGGGAACTTCAAGCTTCATAAAGGAGCACACAAATTTGTCACTAGAACGCAAAATATTCTACAAAACGTCCGTACATAGATGTTATTATTACGTCAACGTAAAGAGTTTCCATTCGGTCGTTTTCTTGGCGAAGTAGAGTTCACCGCCGACGCCATAAAGATACACCATAAAACAACCCCATATATCACAACATCTGGTTCGCAGTCACTGTCCCTGTATGTACACGGCTGATAACTTATGATGATCGCTTCTTGCAGCACATGGGTGGACAGGCTGGTGGACAGACTGGGGCGGGAGCGCAGCATTGTGGCGTGCAGGGTGGTGGGCATGGTGGGGCAGGCACGACTATTGGGGGAGGAGCCGGGACTGGACATGGGCAAGGTGGTGGTGGTGGCATGTATTCCCATACGTGTTGCTGGCTCTGAACGGTGGCTGGTGGAGGTGCTGGCTGAGGAGGAGCAGGCATAGCTGGAGCCTGAGGTCCCATATGGTGAACGTGGTGATGGTGGATGTGGGTGGTGTGGTGAATCTGCTGTGGTGGGGGAGGGGGTGGTGGTGGTGGGGCACAGCAGTAAGTTGGGCAAGTTGGTGCACACATTGGGGCGGTGCATTGGTATCCGCATGGGATGGCTCCTCTCTTTTCTGTTGAGATACAACGTTATACTTTGGGTCACTTCATCGACGACTTCATGTGGTATAACTTTACACTTCTGTTAAAATCCGTATATTAGTGTAAGAACAAATATGAGTAATTTTTAAACAACTCATGATATTAATTTTGAATGATTTTCCCTGGAGACTACTCCAACCCATGAGAAATTCTACAAAAGCTGTGTCTATAATCATTTTCTAACTTTGTCACCACTGTCATCTTAACTTTACAGAAAAGTCTCAAAACCTTTACATGCAGCAAGAGGTACTAGGAATAGTAAAGGCGAAGGTCGTTACAATTTTACTTATAATCACGTGGTTATTCAACACAGGTACTGCGACATCACACAATTTGTTTTGAATTGTTCAGCTTACTGTCTTGTGTCGTGTAGATAGCAGTACATGGAAACTTTTTAAGAAAGTAAACTAAATGGAGAAATTCTGTTTAAAGGATTTTTTTCGCTCTAAAGAAGCGATAAACTGTCCAATATCCCTATCAATTGTGATTTGAAACCGTGACAACACAAGCATGAAATATTAACTGATTTCCTCTGACCTTAGCGAAACCCTAGAGTACAAGTTCGCTCCGGATTTCCTCAATCCTTCGCGATTAGCATGATAATCAAGAAGAAATTCTACTTTGATTATTACGTAAAGAAGTAAAGCGAATTCGGTAGTACGCACCTTTAAAAGATTTGGCGCTGACGCACACGACGGCGGCTAAAAGGAGAACAACAAGACGGGCCATTTCTGCAACTGAAAAAGAGAAGAGATTTAAAAGAGTCAACACGAATTATGAAGAAATCGTGAAAGATATTCCTGAGTGTTCAAAAAGTATCTTACGGTACTAACGTCAACAGATAATGTTAAGAACACTTTATGATCTTCAAACAAACATTTAAAACGCGTTTTTACAATTGATTCTCTTGGATAATGATGATCGCAAGCAGAACAATTAAATTAAAATCCAAACCTACAAAGTCACTCAAGTCGTAGAACCACTTGTCGTTATCGGCTATGAGGTTGTTAGTAACTTACCTTCTAGTCAGAGCTTGGATCTCGATCTACTGAGCGCGCTGAGAACTGATTTCGAATAGAGGATCTTATTAATTATGTCGACATTTGACCAGTCGCAGGTCTTAGCCAGATCAGTGGATTCCCATTGGCTGGCGATGACTTCGGATCACAAGATTTGAAGAAAGTCTATGAGTTATTCATAGTTTTGGTTGATTTCATTGCACACCTATGAGACCCTATGCAAGCCCCAATGACTCAAGAATTAAGTCATCGACATCACTGTGTCAATGTGGAAGCTGTGAGGCGCCGGCGCGTTAATTTCGTGGAAAAAGCATCCATAGGGACCTCGTGAATGCGTCCAGTTCTGATTTTTTTTGTGCGCGGCGATATTTTATTGCTGTTTGCCTTTGATCGATTCAGAAAATGCACGAAAATAAACTCTTTGTTTGTCGTTTGGCACCTGGTTATTGTTTGACATAAACCAAAACATTTTCGTTTGAAGATCAGGTACCAGTATGATGGGTGTAGCCAACCGTTGCATCACAGGAGACCGAAAAACTTGTCGCAAAATTCCTAATGTTCTACTAAAATCTCCAGTTTTCTTTTTAAGATATTTTATATTTCCACGAAATATTGAAAGTTCTCCTACTGATGTAGGTGGAAAAAATTTGTTGGCACAATGTTATGTTATGCTGACTGAAGGACTGGTGCTTGTATTTAGCAAATTCATTTGGCGTTAAAGGATCGTTTCAATTTTAAGACGGCCTTGTCAACAAGATCAATTTTTTTCTCAAGATATAAATATTCGAGGTTAATTTCCATGGAAATACTTTGAGTCACGAGTGCCATGTTCGATACCTAGGTAATTAAACTTTGCGAGAGATTCGATTTCCATTGAAAATATGGTGTCATCATAACAAGGAAAAAGTCTTGCAACTTTACATGACCGTTAAACAAATGAATACTTCATATTTATAACACCCTGGATTTTTGCCTTCAGTAAATACTGTACCCATGTTTACTTTCACTTTAAAATTAGGAGATAGCAATATATGAAGTCTAGGGAGGAGCGAGAACAGACACAAGTACCAATTTTATCCAAACACCATGACCATAAAATTGAGCAACGTGCAGTATTGATCTTAGAAAAGACAACGGGATTCAGGGGAATAAGGACAATTAATTGAATAATTTCCCATTCTGTCTGGATCTGACTTTTTTTTTGTTACTCTTTGTTTATTGGTAAACAAATAAGTCATGACCATGTTTACTAGGGTCACTGACCCTTATGAAATTTCAAATATCATTGTTAACCTAAGTACCAATGAATTAGATGGACAGGGGATTGTCTACTCACTGTATATAGATACTCTTTTATGGATAATAACGTAAAATCGGCTATACTATAACGGAGGACTAAATTGCTTGTCTTTTCTTTTTTGAGTAAACGACTTGTGTACAGATTTCTGCGAAATACCAGATAAGATATGTGTTTTAATATTTCCTTTGTTTACCAAGTAAGGAGGGGACCCCTGAACTCCTGTCAGGTTGGGGCTGCGCGAAACAGTCTAAAGCTGGAAAATAATACCGAACAAACAGAAATTGATGTTATTTCAACGCACTTTTACCGCTCGATATGTGTGGCATGCAGTTACTCAACCTAAGATGGTAGACTTGGTTAAGACAAGAAGGACTGGGGGGGAGGGAGTGTGGCTGGTTAAGTTTTTCCTGTTTTTCTTTCTTGTATTAAAAATGATCTCTTTCATTGATGAAAGTTTATGTTCTAAAGGAGACCAAAAGTCCAGATATAAATATGCCGAATGTCTGAGGAGCTCAGTATTTTATTTTCTTCCAATATTGTCATAAAAACTATATATTTGGCTGCGGTCCGCTACTCTTGAGAATATACGAATAAACACAGTAAAATAACAAAAATTATAGTTTAAAACGTTTCACCTTTAATTAAATACCAACAATAAGCACATGTACAACTTCGCTGAAAACTTCACATTGGTGAATCGAGGACTGCGTTTATATTCACAGGCGTACAAGCATGCCAAATAAAGGCATATCGCATCGACAGCGCATCGTCCTGGACGCTAGACACCTCGTGTAACATACACCGAAAATAAACCTATCTATGAAGCTCCGAAAAGTTAATCGTCATCATCGTCTTTGTCGTCTTTCTTTTCTTCCTTCTGTTCCACAGCCTTATCTGATTTTTCTTCCTGTTTATCTTCCTGTTTCTCTTCTTTTGTGTCTTCTTGTTTATCTTCCTGTTTATCCTCTTGTTTCTGCTCCTGCTTCTCCTCCTCATTGTCCTCCTGCTTGGCAATCTCCTCTTCCTTCTTTTCTTCCTGATCATTGACGTCATCGTCATCATCAGCATTACCAGAGGCTTCATCCTCGATCTTTACCTTGTTCTTCTTACAACAGGCCACTGGGCAGGATGGTGCACACGTTTGGACACATGGGGGAGGGCAGGGTGGAGGTGGTGGTGGTGGGTGGACAATGTGGTGGACAACCTGGTGAACGTGGTGGATTCTCTGGGGAGGAGCAGGAGGGAGACAAGGAGGTGGGCAGGGTGGAGGTGGAGCAGGAGCCCATTGGTGGGAGTGATGGTGCATAACACTAGCGGTGTGGCATGGTGGAGGGCATGGCAGAGGTGGAGGTGGTGGAGGAGGTGGCAGCATATGGTGATGTGTTACATGGTGGATGTGGTGAACAGCCTGAGGGGGAGCTGGAGGGAGGCATGGTGGGGGGCATGGTGGAGGAGGAGCAGGTGCCCACGCATGACTATGAGAATGTTGCACACTATGGGTCATACAAGGTGGTGGGCATGGGGGAGGGGGTGGTGGGCATGGAGGGGGACAAGGGGGAGGACAGGGTGGTGGGCACGGTGGGGGTGGTGGTGGGGGACAGCATGTAGGAGGACAAGGAGGTGCACATGACACTGCACATGGGCCGGCGCATTTCTTGGATCCTGGACTGGCCTTAGCTGCAAGATAAAAAAACGAAAATATGAATAATTGCATTCAATTTAAAGACTAATTCGTTCTTGTAACGCTTTGTGCCGTTTATCACGGGTTTAATATGAACCAAATGATTATTTACACATTTGGCTTTGCGTAACAGGTGGTACACGGTGGACTACATGTGGCAAGAATTTTTCAGTTTCCTTTACAAAATGTGAGATTATATAATATATATATTTTCTGTCCACTTTTGCCTCTAGGTTCAATTTTTTTAAAATAATATCATTGTCAAAACTAAACAAGGATGCTACAAATACCAAGGATATGTTTTGAAAGTGTCCTATAGATCTCTTTGTCTCTCCAAGTGGAAAGATCAAGATCTGATGATAAACACACAATTACAAGTCGCGAATTACCAATTCTTGCCTTAGATGAAGGAAAGATATCCATTGACATAATTTCTGACATTTCGGTTTCTTCGAAAACCTTCGATCAGAGTTTACCCCAGTATCTCTTTTATCTCGGGAAGTGATATTCTAAAAGTGATCGGTTATTTCACAATTCAAAATTCTGTCACTAATTTAAATTGAATTTAAAACTGAAAGCTTACCTTTCTTGATTTTATTAGCTTTTGGATGTTTGCCGGCTTCTACGAAGACAACGGCCGCTATTAAAAGACAGACTAACAGGGCCTTTGTAGCCATGATTGGGCTCTGAGAATATGCAAAATTAAAAGCCATATATTAGATCTGAGTAAATCACATAGGCAAGATGAGTTTCACTATTTGATTTACGAGTGTAAATTAAAGACCGCGCTGAGACTTGGTGATACGTAAGTAGGTTGTCTACAGTGGGTTGACAAACACTTCTTTTCCTTTAACAAGTCTGAGGTAGGCGGTTCGTTTCCCTTTCTTCTACCAAGTCACAATCCCACGCTGTATTGTAATAAAAGTGAAAAACGCGGTTTTTGGCTCGTCTGTTTTCTATTAGCCTGGCTAGCTGTACCAATTCCCTTGAGCTTAGTCTCTCCATTTGGAAACTGTATCATAAAACTTGCGAAACTCACCGTATCTCTGTGGCTACTCCCGCAAACTCGGATTGAATTATGATAAACTGCAATAAAACGTTTTATGCCAGGGCCCCGGTAACACTAAATTATTTACCAGTCTTTGTAATCCCTGATTCACTAAGGTCAGGACCGTAGGGCGTTAATTATTCACGACCAGTGAGGTGATTTGGGTCTCGCGCGTAAGTTCATATTTCGGGAAAAAGACGAAATTTTTGCTGCTGGACATTTTGATTTCGCTTGAAATATCCACCAATGTTATCATGTAATTTTCAGTGATAGAGATCCATTAGTATTGTTTTTAGAAAGGTCATTATCTAAGTTTACAGTTCTCGGATCAGGTCAGTACGTGTTGTTAATATTTCAGTATTCACCAGTTGTGTCGTTAGAAATGACAAGGAAACACCAGAAATTTGTAGGAAAACCGCTTTGGGAGCCCATTTATCCTCTATTGTGCGTTTAAACCTTAGATAATTACTAATCTAGACCCCTACATCTTTATAGAGGAAAGTTATTACCACGTGAAATAAACTTTATTTCGCAGTCCGAAATCACTGAGATTCCAGCGTATAACAAAATAATTTCGCACCAAGACATTTTATTTTGACTTTCGTCTGGAATACCTGTTAGTGGAAAAGAGTTAATCGTTTGCTATTTAACGTTATTTCAATAACTGAAGTGCTTTTCCAACCATCATTGGCGTGATAATGATACGACATTAAGAAAAGGGGGAAGTTTATCGAGGGTACACGCCCTGTTGTTAAACCACGACTACCAAATTTGATGTTCATACGGATCATTCGATTTGAAGACACCTCGCTTTGTCTGGCAGAAATCAATATTTGGATCTTTTATCTTTTACAGTCGTATCTTAATATTTGGAAAGTGGAAGAAAAATTACGACAGAGGGCTGTTGACAATGTGCTAACAGATAAATTGTTTGTAGAAATCAATGATAAACAAACCTATAACTTGTAAGTCGATGGGCGAGTGAAACCTGAATGCAATCTTTTGTTCGCTTTGCTTGTGGTTTTTGTTAATTGTCAAGCGAAGATTCTTTAACTACAGAAATCGGGGTATTGTTTCCTGGACAAGATGCATTTTATCTGAACGATGCAATTTATTTTGAATGCAAACTTTTAACAAAAAAAATTATCGCAACTCAGTGTGTTGTGAAAAATTGCTTTGACTTTCATGTCATCCAGACGGTTTTTTTTTCTTTTAACCTTGTGTTAAGTTATGAATAATGTTCATACTTGAAAGAGCCTTTACTCAGGAAAATTGACATTTGAATCAGTTAATTCGCATGGGTGCATTTTGGTAAGAGAGTTTTCAAAGAGGCAATTAACAAACAGACCGAAAGGCAAATAATTAAACTACCGACGCAATTCTCCTTTTCTTAACCTATCAAAAGGCGTGGAAGAATTCAACAGAAAACTCGTTCGAATTTAGCAGCAAAGAAAAATTTCACCCTCTGAACATGGTCACCTAGCTTCTATCAACGGCTTAATCTTGAGTGATACACACGCGAAAAAAAAAACATTATTACTGACAAGTCCTAGAGTCAGTTATATTTAAATTTGTTTTGTCGCTCAAATCAGGCATATGATATTTGCAGTTTCTGTGGAGGCTATTTAGAAGAGTTTCATTGCAAAAGGTTGCTACTTCCACTGTAACAAGATGGCTATGCTGGAGAAATAAAACAAATCCTTCTTAGACAAAAAACAAATAAATAAATTCAATTCAGCGTCACACTGCATGAGAAGACTGTCAGTATAACCAGGTGCTTTTGAGTAACAGCTCATCCTCCATCGCAAACGATGTTGGTTTAAAAGGAAAATTAACCACTATATATCAAATGAGGAGTTATTTTCTCTGGGGTGTACAAATCGTCTAAGGTGCAGCGAAAGTAGTTTCGCATTTGGCTGATGCGCGAGTTTTTTAAGTGCCAACGAAAAGTAATTAAAACCAACACCGAGCAGTCTAGCATCACTTGAAACTCTCAATTTAAAGTTACCCTATCATTCTTGCTTTTTTATTCATTATGTTCTTTGAAATAAATTAAAGTAAAAAATGAGGAAAAGCTGACAGCACATGCCCCAAACGTGGCGGACGCGATGCTCTACGCCCTCTGCAAAACCAGGTACTGTTCAAATGTTTTTAAGGTACCAGTGACAAAGGTAGTGAACCAGGCATTTTAAAAAACAAGCAGCTGTCTAGGAGACAAACACAATATAGAGGGCTTTTCGATTGACATTTTCTTAATTTTTTATTATTAAAAATACAGTTTTCCGACCAACATTTTTATAACCTCATTATCTATATGTACAAGACTTTCGCCAACACGAAAATGTAGATTGTGTTTTAATATTGAACTAAATTTCAGCAGTTTAGCATACTGTTAACGTTGTCGATACATCTGAACCTTCGTGTACAAAAATACGTCTATATGGTGTAAATCTAAGAGCTCTATTGAAATGTGGGTGGGAATGTTGAATTAAAAGCATCACTTTCTCTGTTTGGATTTCCGTTTTGATAAGTTGACTTTTAAAGAATCTTGACAGAATGTCGCAAACGTTTACCAGTAACGCCAAGTTCTGTTCACTTCAAAACTAAGCTATACATTAAAACCTATTCATCTCTGAGGATTACCTCAGGGGAGCATCGGGCTAAGAGACCAAGAAGAACTCATTACAGAGTTAATTCCCTCGAGTTATTTTTAGATTCGAGGTATCTGTTCTCCTAGGGATCATGCTGCACGTGACAAGGGAGTCGCTTGAATCCTTTGTTGAAGAAACACAAATCGCTGCATGGAATATCCAAACACAACTTGCGACACATGATTAGTTAATGTACATCTTTAGGAATCACTACACACGAGAGAATCCGAGCATTATCATTATTATTATTATGACGCGCGAATGACATCTCCAGTTGATCCTCTCTAATCAGAACTGAAATTTTGAAGTATTCTTCCTTATTTGGATTGCACACGACAGCCCATACAAAGCTTATAAAACTGACTATGCTAACAGAATCACTTATTATTGACTGCTGGACAGAATATCCTGCAGAGTCCTACAAATACTATAAACTACCAACAATTGTGAGCCGAAAAGTTTCAGAGGGAAAAAAATAATCATTAAATCTGTTACTAAGTCAGTACCACTGTTCCAAAACAGTGTTTACTCTAAGTTCATGTTGTCATTGCAAACTTGCACTTTTTCAAGGACATCATAAAAACCTCTTAAATCGTAGTCTTCTAGTTGCTGTATTCCTCCCGAATTATTTTCATGACTTAAAAAATAGTTCTTTAAAATTAAGTAACGCACCGGGGTTTCACTTAGGTGTCACGCAACATTCCTAGTTACAACTCAAAGGGATAACTTTTTTTGCAACGTTTTTATCCTCCAACTTCATGAAGATGAGCCGCTGCTTGCATCTCCCGACGAAACCAAGAAATCACTGCTTCGCAAAAAGCCTTGCTCACTATCATCCTTATGAGCTTTTTTATGCGTTGCCAAAGTTACTTTCTTTGCTGTCTGTTTTGATTTCACCTGCTGAATTTTAGACCTCTTACTAGCTTCATAGAGAGCGTCCTCATCAAGGTCAGAAGTTGTTTCACCTGACGCAGACTCAGAGCCTTCAGCTCCACCCGACACCTGCGCAGATTCAGGTGCTTTTGTGGGAGCAGCAAGTTTGGGAAGAGGCGAAATAATAAGCGCTGCCATTTCCATTCGACTCATGTCTGAAATAAAAGACAAATAGTATCGCTGTAGATATAAAGATTTTCAAGTGGGCGTATGAACACGACGTTGTATTTCTTGGAAAGGTAAAGTTAATTTGGATATTTGTGATCAATTGATGGTTTCTCTTTGGGCTAATGCAGCTTAGAACGTAATACGACAAAGTGTTCAACGAAAAAAGCCAGCCATCATTTTCCATGACTTTGAAGAAAAATATAGCTATACCGTCGGAAAAAAAAAATTATAAAAAAACATTTTGATTGATATGTTACCTGCAGTCCTTTCATTCCACTGTTGCCACAGAGGCTGCAAACTAGCTGGGATGCGAGGAGCGCAGGTCAGAGGTTGACAGGTGTGAGTACATGGGCTGCAGACTGGTAACGAGCATTGAGCACACGTGTTACACGGACTACACGGGTCTGGTGGAGCCATGTAAGGACTCGATGACATGAGATCCGGGACTCCCATACCAGGGGCATATGCCGGGGGAGGCTGGGCTGAGAATGTGATAGATATTACTGATATGAGATTTAGTCATGCTAAAATCCAGTAGATTTATCGTGTATAATTAGAGAGGTTAAGCATTGCATTCACGGTGAACAGCAGTTATTGAAGTTGATGTTGTCTGTTAGGGTAGGCATGAAAGTGATGTACATTCAGAGTGAAGAAGGGATCCTTTTACGATTTCTCTTCAGAGATCGATAAATCATTATGAGGAAAGTAAACAGAATTGGAAATAATTTTTGCCGTTTGACACTCTAATCTTACTCAACAACTCACAGACAAACCCAGAAAAGTTAGAAATAATATCACTCACCATAAGGAGCTGGGGCATAGGCGGCCGGAGCTGGAGGGGGCTGGTAACTAGCTGTAAAGAAAATTTACCCAACTTCCAATGACATAAAAAGTTATCCTTAGATAGAGAACGAAAAAACGTCTTTAATTTACTGAACACATTATTACGGGTAATTGGCGCTCTCAGATCAACCAAATGGTGGCTTTTTCTGTTCGATGGGATCTTTATGAGAGAAAAATGGTTGTGGTTTTTTTTTATCTAGCTATTAATAGGGTAATTCTCTGCTTTTACTTAGCAATTTTCTCATAAAGTGAGACCTAATTTACTTTGGGAACATAGTGCATCATTGGAGAAGATGATCTGAACAGGGACCCTTAGTAAAAGGAAAATTCGAAATACTAAAACGAATTTAATCGTTTAAAAATTTCGCCCAACGTAAATCCACATTTACTTACAACTCTACTTGAAAAACGTTTTAGCGTTTTAGCACGTTAGTAATTCTTTGTCAAAGCTCCCATGATTATGATCACTTTCACGCCTATAATACGTTCACTGATGGCAAAGAATAAGCAAAGATCTTACTCAAGCGCTACATGAAAAAATATGTTAAAAGCACAAAGTAACTATGGACACAAGTTTTTATCTTATTGTGACAATTTACTTAGACTACAATACGGCTCCAAATAACTCACCTTGACTAAATCCCGCAGCAGGAGGGGCCGGGTAAGGCACTGTAACAAAAACCCAATAATACCATGAGATTACAAACAATACCAACAGCAACAGCTTCAAAGATCTTTGAAAACGACATTAAAGCACATGTAAACACCTTGGAAAATAAACTGCGGTAATTGAATTATTGACTGGAGCGGACCAGGTGAAGATTGGACTATCGGTTGTGCTGGCGGCTCGCGTTTTTCGCTTGCTATTGATACCGATATAAAATTACCAAAAATATCAGTCATGGAAATTAATCCGTACACGAAAGATCAAGACTCATAAACTCTGATCTATCCATTAAAACGAGCTTAAACCTTGTTCATTAGGCTTTGAATGGTATTTCCAAAGATCGTACCACTGAAGTGACGGAGCTGAAAAAAATACGAAAAATGATCAAGAGTTCCGACTCCTAGGCACATTTTGTTGAAAAAAAATCTAGCCAATTTGGTATTCGATACTCGAGTTGAAATACCTGCAAAAACAAAATTTAAAAACGCAACAGAAACAATAGCAAAAATTTCCACTTCGGAATTCCTCATCGTGTCGCCCGAAGTTTCATCCAGATCAAAGCTTCCAATCTACAAAATGTTTATTTTTATGTCAGGTTACGTATTTCCCCTAAGTGTCTGTTTTGCGGGTAGATATTAATTTTAACTCCACGTGATTGGTTGATGAAAATCAAGTCATAATAGCTCTTTTGGGATGACATTACGCGCTCAAAGCAGGACGTGTTAATTGATTTATCGAACCCAAATATATTTTCGCCCCGGTTACGCAAATAGCAAGAAAAAAGAAATGAACGCTCAGTTGACACAAGAGAAAGATCTAGAGTTATTGTAGGCCAAAGTTTCAGGAAATATTCAGGCTTTTTTTCCGTTTAGCAATTTCTATGCTGAAAAAATTAGTTATATAGTTACTTTTCGAAAAGAACATTCCTGAAGATTATCTCCACTGCAAGTTTAAAATCCCTGGGTTTTCCTCTAATTAGTTAGTCTTTTTTTAAGTTCATAGCCAGAACAAGAAATTATAATCTCTTGGCCAGTACCATAACAAACGATTCATTTTCACTCTTTAACCTGTAGACGTTTAAAGGTGCCATTATATTCTTTGCCGAAGGGAAGAGCCTTTTAAGAACCTGTGGACAACAGCTACAACCTCTAAACATCTGAGACAACAACTAAACATCATCAGCCTTCTTAATTTCTAGCCCTTTCTTTGTATCGCACCTTTGCAGAGTGATGAAAAGAGACATAAGAAAGAAAAAACTTCGAACAAAGCTTCTATTTTTTAACCTGTCACCCTGATGAGTTAATTCAATTGTCAACCAAGGAGTACTTTGCTGCTCATTAGGGCTTAATAGCAGAACTGAGAGAAAGTTATTTTTAACTTCGACATAACGGGACATTCCAGATCCGAAATATTTGAGATACTCAGTCTTATTTCTTCTCAAAAGGAAATCTAACTCCTCGGGTCTATAAAAGACTGGTGCTTCTGCCTTATCACCTGGATTTAAAAAAAACACTTGTTTATTGTAATTCACTACCGCCCAAAATCGAATGCGTCTCCGGGCTTTGGAGATGCGGTAGAATTATAGCTGGGAAGAACTGGACTGGACTCTAAGTTCAAGCCCCGCCCCGCGTCATTTATTTGTGTTCTTGGAAAGAGGTCATTTTCTCCCCCAGTCCACTCTCCACCCAGGAGAATAAGTGGGTGCTAGTAATCTGTCAGAGAAACCTGACGAAATTCTAGGGGAGGGGTAGACTCGGGTGGATAAGCATCCAATCCATGTGCGAATAGCAATACTTCGTGTCCCTTCTTCTGATCGAAATAAGCTGCCGGAGACCATTTAAAGCAGTCTCGAATACAGACCTCATTTTACCCATCAGTTTACTTACCCGGATTATTCACGCAGTCGTAGTTGACATCCAAATACTTGTTAGCGTCCGGGCACGCATCGCCAAACCAGTCATTACTCGCAGCCAAATCACAGCCCTCCAGACCATCACACCGTTTCTTCACCTTTTCGTAAGTTCCAGGAGTGCGGCAGAATCCCACCGGCATCGGATTGTTTTCCTTTAGGCAACCGACATCACCCATGTCACCAAAATCAGCATTTAACACCCTTATCCTATGTTCGGGCGGGCAAGATATTTTCTGTATCGTGTCTTTGCATATGATGGCTCTTTGAGATGGGGCGGAAAAGACTCCACTTTGACGAGCTGAAAAGAGAGGTAAGACAGGAATCAACTTTTGTCAAAATCGGCCAAAATAGTTCGATGGCGCTTATGAGGCAACGCTCATTCACGATAACCATATTGCAGTTACAAACCGAATGCGATCTTGCCTTAGCCAGGCGTAATCTTCCGCCAGGTTTGCTCTTGATACTTATTTTTTTTGTTTGTTTTCCTTGGAGTGCTTGCGTAAAAAAGTCCTTTTTTTTGTTGTTGTTTGTTTTTATGGTAAGTTTAAGATTAAAAATATAATTCGAACGTTTAAAACACTGCATCTGACGATGATTTTCTGATGCTTAGCAACGAAGCAAGCCTCAGGTCGAGTTTAAGCTAGATGTAGAATGTAATACACAAACAGATATTGGACAACATTCGACAACCTCATAAACTTTTTAAAAAACTCTTAACTCTTACTATTGGCAAGATAGGCCAAGGCTTTTTCTTGTTGCTGATCGGCAGCATATTTTGACTGCGCCTCGGCCATTTGTTTGGTCTCGTCTATAGGGGGATTTTCATTTTCTTGAGCAGCGGAATCACTTCTTTGCGTGTCACTATCAAGTGGTGGGGGCACATCTGCATCAATGTCCTCGACTGTTTCAGGTTGTTCTTCCTCGTTTTGTCCCTTCTGACCATCTTCTTCATCTTTAACACTGTCACTGTCAGCTTTTTTAGAAGTTTCATCAATTGCTTGTGCTTCTTTAACTTCCTTTTGAGGCTCGCTGGCAAGTTTCTCTGAATCGATTTTCGTTTTGTCATCATCACCTTGGACCACCTCATTGTCTTTACTATCTGATTTTTCAATAGGTAACTCTGATTCGCTGCCAGATGCTTCTGCGTCACTAATTTCCTGGCCACTAGCGATCAGTTCCCCGCTTGAAGCAGCAAGAGCTTCCTTGACGTCATTGTCACTTATAGTTTCGTCATCGTCCTCGCTATCGTCGTCATCAGTACCTTCGTCTACAGCATCATCACCTGATCCTGCTTTGTCAATATCATTGCTATCTAAAACAAAGCAAGTTGGAACATATTAGGATAACGTATCATGCTGAATAAAACAGTTAAACTACAGAGGGTGAAAGAGTCGTTATAATAATGCTTAGGTTTGGTAGACAGTAGCTTGTAGCAAAGTACTAAGCTTAAGTTTTGTCATTTTTATTTCTATTTTTACATTCATTTAGTACGTAATGGGCCGTCGGTTTGTAGCTTTCTCAAGTGAATGTACATGTCATGTCTTCCGTCGTACTTTCCTGACTCACTCAGTGCAGTCGAAGGCGTGAACCTGAACCACCTCCTCTGTCAGCAAAGTTTGTTTTCAGTTATCGTAGTGGATCATTGTAAGATGCTGTTCACGGAATGTCCACGTAGCGTCTAATTCATGTGGTGTCCTCATGATCACTCTGAACAGTTCGTCCAATTCATAGAGAATTCGAAGCGCTTAAAAAGTGGATTTGTCTTTCATGATGATTTGTCTTTTATCCCTGTGATGTACATAAAATGACTTAAGCGATGGTTCTGTCATTTGTATTGTGTCCCTCTTAGAGTTATTGTTGTCTTCATCTGTCTTGAATTGGTTGCTGTCATCTCAAGAGTAAAGTCTTTGTCATAATATCTTGTAGGGAAAACACAAAGGCGATGAGACCATGTAAAAAAGCGAAAAAACTATTAATCTATTAAACTATTAATTTCGATCTTTATTCATTTTTTACTTGTTTGAGCCGTAAATTTTTTTTGGGAAGTGATCTTCGATCACTCAATTTTTTTATTTCTATTGAAATTTCTGTCGAAGAAAACTCTTCGAACAGTTATTTTGTCTTTTGCTCAATTGTTTGCTACTGGTGGACGAAAAGTCTCATCGCACATCGTGTCAACTACTCACCATCTCCTTGCAGCAGACCAGCGAAGTACAAGGCTGATTTATAAATATCAATGGCCTGTTGACGCGTCAAGTTCATGGGAAGGCCTGGCACTGGAAATGGAGGCATATTTGGGTTATCATTCGTGCCTGCTAACATGAATGCCACTTTGGAAATATCGTCTCTTAAGTCCTTTTCGTCATATCCGCTTCCACGTCCGCTGAATTCCGGCTCTGGCTCTTTCAGGTCAGCCGTATCATCAAATTCCGGCTCTGGTTCTTTTAAGTCAGCGTTATCATCCATGTCGTAAGATTCGTCAAATCCAGACCCCGAGCTACCAGAGCCGGAAGTCGGAATATCATTCGGAAGAACGAAAGGGGTCTGAATGCTTGGGGTTGTACTCTTTGTGACAGTTTTGATGGGAAGTTTTATTTGCATCGAAGATGGCTGAGGAGACAGCATACCGTGAAATTTACCCTGCATAGCTTTATCATTGTCTCGGAAATAACTTGTCACTGGAACGTTCTTCACCTGATCTGCAGGGACTCTATCACGAACGTCTTTTACGACTGGAAAAGCACTCTTTGGCATCATTCCCGGATAATTTTCTTGGTGACCAGGACTTGCTGTGTATCCACGCGTCCATCCTTGTTGTTGGTAGCTTGAGTACCATGGAAGGCCAGAATACCGTCGGTAGCTAAGTTTGCTGTGATCCATAGGTTTCTGAATGTTACGCATGTGCGGGTAGGATTGTTGACTAATATCTGTCTTTTTAACAGCTGAGGATTGACCTGAAACTTTCCTAAAATTTTCGACTATTTCTGGGCTGAAAAAGCCAGGTGGAGGCCAGTAAATTGTATTTTTCCTATCCAAATTTGATTGTTGTCTGTAAACGTTTGTGATGATACCACTTTGATCTTCCTTAGAGGTTAGACCGTCGTTGAGCGAGGTAGGAAACATGGATGCACCAGTATCCCCTAGGTTTGTCGAATAATTAGAAATTTGTTTGGTTCCATTTACACCGGAGGCTGATAAAATTCCAACTGACAAGTTTCTTGTCGACGGATTTCCCACCGGTTGATCTTTACTCGATGGGTTCCCTGTTGATAGGATTCCCGCCAGACTTCCAGTCAGTTGTTCACCCATGGGTCGATTCCCTGCCGTAATAACTCCCGCCAATTGTTTTCCTGGCGACTGATTTCCCACCAGTTGATTACCCACCTGCTGCTTTCCCGCCACAATATTTCCCGCCAGTTGAGTTGTCAGCGGTGGATTTCCCGCAAGTTGGTTCCTCTCCAAAAAATTTCCCGCCATTTGGTTTCCCACTTGGAGATTCGTCATTTGTCGATTTCCCGCCAATAAAACTCCTGCAAGTGGATTTCCCGCCATTCGGTTTCCCGCCAGTGTGTTACCCGTATAGCCAGCAACCGATGGAACATATGATCGTCGATTGTTTTGATCGTGTATTGTTTGATTCTTTTGATTAATGATTCTTAACGGAACTGTTGTGCTGTTTAAATCGGATTGGTTCCGCGAAACTAAACTTGCGCCAGTTTTTATACCCTTTGTCTCCGGAATAAATGTTCTTCGAATGTTTTGATCGCTTCCTTGATCAACCTGGCTCAAGTTCTGTAACCTTTGAGCTATCAAGTTGTAGATAGCCGCGTATTTATCACTACTTTTGGCTGCGAAAAAATCAGACCCTTTCAAACATGGCTGCCCACTTACTTGTAGCCTGTGAGTCGATATCTATAAAGATAGCTTAATGGAACGTACGGCTTATTTGCATCAGACCTTACTGGAAATAAACTCACATTTAAGGATTTTTCCTGGAAAATTTATAAACTTTTTCTCAATTTTCACTTTTTTTATTTCTTTCGTTCAGCTCCTAGACGGAAGGGAGAATGGGCACCAGATCTCGTATGACCTCAAATTGACTTATTATCCCATTACACTCCCGAATCCACAATCAACCAGTAACACAAGCCTAGCTCGTTATAGTAAACGAAAATTGAGCTGGCTGTCGGATTTTTCATGTCATTTTGTCACAAGTATTCCAATAAATTTTGTGCAACTTCCAGAAGATATAATTCTGTACGCCTTTTTCTTCATTCTCTTTTGCTGGCCACCTGTGTTTTTGCTTGTTTATACATGAACAGAGGTCACTAAGTCAAAAAAACTAAAACAAGATCTCAGGGATTTTGAGAAGGATGAGAAAACAAATTCAATGCTTGGTTTCAAATCACATACACTTAAGTGATTTTAGTTGATTGTGGAAATTGGAAAGTGTTCGGTAAATGTTCCTTGTAGAAGGCCTACTTTGGCATGCAGGTATGATAAACGGGCATTTACAAAAACATAGTCTAACATCTTACCTCCCTCAATTGGCATCGAGGAGGACGGTCGGATACCAAAAGCCAATAGAAGTCCAAACAAAAGCGCCACAAGAAATCTGAGACTAGGCATGACAAGTTGGGTGGTAATGTTCCCGGATTCAAACGACGATGAAAATAGGTTTTCTTAAACCTACAGGACCAAGAAAAATAATGTCAAACAGGTAATGAACAAACAAGTAACATAACTACAAAACAACCCAGTTTAAGTCCTTGTGCCAGAACGGAAGACATCGAACTAATTTTACATATCTTGTTTATACCTGTTGATCTCTTAGCTCGAATGGCTAAAAAAAGTTAAAACCAAGATTGTCAGAAAAGTCCCCTAGTTGCTAACAAAATGCTTGCTCAAAGCTTCAGAGGTTAAAAATGACTGTGATCACCGACGCGTAAACTTCTGGGTGTCAAAACTGGTACGCCTTTGAAGTTGAATGTCAACGAGACAGCTCAACCTTTCAGCAAAAACGAGAACCTTAAATGCAAGAATTACCAACGTTTACCTTTATCCGTGTGTCTTGATTCCAAATTTTGTTGAAGGGGAATTATTTTCACTTACAACATTTTATTTTCGAAACAGTCTAACATCCACCAGAACGCTTGAACGCACCACAAGGAAATAACTGAAGTAATCTTTACTGGTGCCGTGGCGCCCCTACAAATCAGTGACATAATATCCGAGTAATTCTAATTATAACTCGCAAGTTGATTGGTCGGGTTTTGCAAGGGTTAAAGCAAGCTGACACTTAAGTCTTAGCAAACACAAAAGCTTTTTTTCGCATCATTTCCTCTAAGTACGATTTTAAACGATTTTTTATGGCCAAAATATCAAGTGTTAGAAACCTCTCAAGCGTTTGAGAATATTCTAAATCCTGACAGTGGGGAGTAATCTGCGTTCCCTTCTCGCGAATTGATTGGTTCGACAAACTGAAGCATGTTGTTGATTTCAAGGAAGTTGCAACCGATTTCAACACGAAAACTACTTGATCTGTACGTTCAATGAAACATCGACAGATCGGACGAGATACATCTCAGTTTTTTTCTTTGTCCCGTGCTCGTGAATACTTCATTTAATCCTCAAATATCAAACTAGAGTTTTGAGCAGGGCTAGCTTTAGGTTTCCGGTAGGTAGTGGCGGACGACCGGACAACCGGTGTCATGAGTGTGATGACATTGATTCACGTCGGGCAGTGAGATCATTACTTTGAGTCGCGTTTGTGGCTGTTAATCATAATTTTGTTTCAGTCTTTTTTAACATTCGCAGGCCTTTTTTTGAAGTGAGGGCGGGTTATTGAACGCAAATTTGAAAAGCTAAATTAAATTTTGCAGTAATTGGTTTGAACCCAGTAGCAATAGACATTCCGTCAGTCCGTTTGTTCAAGACTTCAACCATTTCTTTTTCTAAAAAAAAAGGCAATTTTTAGGCACTTTTAAATTTTTTCTTTCTAGGAGTCTTAATTCAGAATTTCACTGGTGTTGTAAAGCGCCTTTAAACATTAGGATACTGGCGCTGTATAAATCTTTTATTTATTATTATTATTATCATTATTAGTATTAATATTACTATTATTAACATACAATCGTGTAGCCTGTTCGTCCGGGTGAGGGTAGTCCTGAGTGGAAATGCCATCGGTGGCAGCGAATGACGTTTCGTCAACTTTTGCGGACGTCATTATATAAGACCTGAACCCTCTCGGGTTTCTTAACGGTCAGTCATTACAACAAACAGCAGTCCTTCTGCAGACTACTCTCCTTCACACGATCAGCCTAAACGATCTCAACAAATTTTTGAACTACGAAGAAGCTCCAAAAGATATTCTGAATACTGTAAAACTTCCAGATCTTAAATGTGTAACAATTACTTTGGGGATCAATAACTAATATGAATGTTGTATCTTAAAAATTTAACAAAATTCTAAGGATAATCAGTGAGCACAACGACTAGGGGCGGAAAACCATAGTTTCGAAGCCGCTTCGAAAACTGCATGTCAGCTGTTTATTCACGTGCTTAGCGGCGCATCGTTGCATTTAATAATGCACTTGTTGTGTGTCTGTTTCTGATTTGCCTTGCGTATTTGTGCCGAGTCTTTCACCGTTTTTGCGAACTTCTTGCGTCTAGAAGTACGGAAGAGGTAAGGGCCACATATAAGAGGTGGCGGCGCCTTGTTTCAAACATTTTAGTGAGACTTACAGTACCATGGTAACTTGCACAAAACTAGTCGAACTCATTACAGAAAACGAGCAATGTATTTTAAATGTTTTGCCATTCTTACGTGCTTTGGTTCTACTCTTGGATTTGCACAATTAAATTTCGTAGAAATGATTGTTCGTTTCCTAGAATGAGATCGGATAACTTTTTTAGTGACCCAATAAAAACTGTGAGCCGTAAAGGGAACTGAGCCACGTAAAAGTTAAGCGGCGTCTCCAACACTAAACTCCAATCAAAATGCTAAAAATGACTCAATATTTATCTGATCCCTTCCATTCTTTTTTTTCGAATCGTCTGTAAACTATGGATGCTGTTGGGGTTTCAGTTAACCACTGAACAGGAAGTAAAGAAAATCAAGACTCTCTAAACAAGCCTACAACTTGGAATCTTTTTTTTTTTTTTTCCAAAGAAAAGTAAGACTTACAAAGGAAGTATTTACATGCTAAAGGATGAAAAACATAGGTTTTACATCTCAGTGCTTTTTACTTGAACTGTGCTTTGTATAAGTAATAGTTACGATCAACGTGAGTACTCAATTTTGACCGTTTCTCATGTCACTGAGTGTCGCAGAACCAAAACCAAAGTCATGTAACAGTCAATCACAGCAGAGGTAAACCAAAGTCATCTCGATGGCCAATCAGATCACAGGTGTCACAACAAGCCGATAACAACTCGAACTAAAAACAAGAAAGTGACTGAGTCAAGGGCGGTTTTCGCTGTGCTTCTGATTGGCCATTGGATGTAGCGCGAGTTTCCCAATCCAATCACAGAGCCCACTAAAGCAAAACAAATGTAATTCGCATAACTAACGACCCTCAGTTGAAAATTGCTCTCCAAGAGTGACTAGCAACTACTTTAGCCGTCGCACAATCTTGAACTCAAAAGCGTGACGTGACTGTGACTGATACGTGACAAGAAAAGAGAGTCTACCGAGGCGGGCGAAGTTAGGTCTCTGAGTTCATTTGCTCCTCTACGAAAGCGTAGATTTATAAATTTTTCTTAATATTATAGAGACGTGTTACAACGTGATGGCGACTTAGGGAAACAGCCCTGTCAGGATATCCCTAGCACAGAGTGTGGTCACTAGGCAACTGCTAAATACGCGAAAATCTGTAGTATGGTGTCCCTTTAACAAGCAGGTAGATCACATTGGATAGTTGAACATGACATCTTGTCGGGCCAACTCCAGCAACATAGGATCGTCGAAGAATTTGTTGATGCTTACGTCCTCACTCAAACCCTATAAAAAAATTAAAAAGGCAAGAACAATTAAGCGACCTGCGTCAGCTAACAGAGGCGGACGTATAAAGCTCATCAGCTGACCTTTCTTCTCCTTGTCTTGATCATGAATTCTCTGGCCAGATGAGTGGCTGGTTGTGGTTCCAACGGACGAATAATAATGCTCTTATCCAGAGGATCTCCTGGTACGATCTGTGTACGAATAACATGACGTATTATTAGATATAAACCTATGCAGCGTGCGATAAAAAGAATGAGAAGAAAGTTGGAAATGCGGTGCTATAATTTTACCCTTATCCTTTACCTCCTATGAGTGACTAAGAGAGAATTTCTCCTAACCATATCAATACAATATCCAGCATAGAAGTGATGAGAATAAAGACAAATATCAATTAAGGGATTATTAGTTGATCCAATACCAAATTCTCCAAATTGACATCATAAGAATTGTATGGCAGACAGTAAGGAGAATTAATGATGAGATCTTGGGAGTTAAAGGGTTAAGCCGTGCTCGATAGCAACGATAATCGTTCCTGAATTGCTGCGCTGTGATCAGCCCAATGAAGAAGAACAAAGTTAACTTTGACAAAATTCCGCTTACCTGCCAGTGGTGAAATACTGACAGACAGAACGCCTGTCCCTGGGTGTGAGTCCGCAGATCAGTTTCAAATCCGAAAGAGTCAATAGCGGGAATGAAAGCCTTAACTGTGTACAGTGGAGAACCGGGAACTGGTGCATCCTGAGTTACATGACCCCTTAAAACACAGACAAACAAAAACACAAATTAATAAATGCTACCTCCAAAAACATCTTCACCTGATCTGAATCAGGCGGCAACAAGTACATTAAAGAGCACAAGGAATCCTTCAATCACTGATCTCTACGATAAATTACTTGAGAGTAACTCGAATGTAATAACTCACCTTCGACGAGCTAACACGGTGTATACCGAGGACACACAATCAGCTGGAGCCTGGACCTCAACGAAGAAATACGGCTCCATCAGCCTGGGTGTAGCCTGGCAAAAAACAACATACGACAAATAAGATATATACGTTGTACGGAAACCATCGATCATTGATGCCATGAATGATATCTAGAACGAGAGGTCACTGGGACAAATCACATGGTTTGCAATTTGGCTCTTTCGAAGATCGCTGGCTGAACAAAGAAGTGGGTGAGATTCAGAAACGGGATTGTTACTCACCATCAAAAATGCTGAGTACGCCACTCTCCTGGCTGTAGGAATGATCTGCCCTCCTCCTCTGTGGATTGGTTCGCCAGCGATCACAGCATCAAGGATCTTGAACTTCACATTTCTTATTGCTAAAAGAACAAATTCATCAGAAAATCAGTATGTACAAATAAGGAAAAGCCTCCTTTAATCTCGAAATTTTCTCAGAGATTTTTTCTGCGGACATTAATCGTACCGTAGAACGAAACAATTTCGAGCGCGAAGTTCGAGAAAAATGTGAGATTGAAGACATAGATGATGTCTGAGAGCAAATATACGATTGCATTCTCAATCTTGAACAAGGCTAATGTTTTCGTAATCCTTAGAATATTTTGTGTATATCGAGAACGGATTTTAAGCTTTGACAAAGGACGATCTTATCCGCTGGAAATTGTTCTCTTGATATCACGTCAAATCAAAAGTAAAACGGTTTCAAAAGACTTACGCTCATCACAAAGAGGTCCCTCCCTCGTAGCCCACTGAAAACCTTGAATAATTGAATCTTTCACAGTGTTGAGTAAACTTTTGTCCACCTAAAAACAGAAGAAAATTGTTTTAAGATAATGTGCTTATTCATCTGTAACTGTAAAATGACACAGCCTATCGCCAAAAGCATATAATCCACACTTGACTGTGTTAACAAAGCAAGTAAGTAGAAATAATGATATCAAGTACGATAAGCCATAATTGCAGTGAATGGGAATGCAATTGGAACTAAAATATTTCAGTTGCTCAAGGTCATACCTCAGACGGAAGCGTATCGTCTACAAGAATATTTGGTCCAGAATTGTCAGGTCCAAATGCCCAGATTGAACGAGCTGCCAACAAATCCCAGTCGTATTTGGTTTGGAAAAATTCTCCAAGCTTTTTCCTGTGAAGGTGAAAGAAGAAAAGTAAATCTTCCCGCCCAAAAGACAACTTTAACTAAACTTGTT